GCACTGCATGTCAGTCCCAAGACATTACCATACGCATTATCAACAGATAATTTGCCATTTTTTTGTCTGTTAAATGGTTTGCTTTTTTTCCTCTTGATTGTCTCCTGACCCCCCCACCACAAACTTTTTAAAAGATACCTCTCATGTAATAATATCTCCGACCATCAGTTTTCTTTCTTTCTTTTCTTAGTTTTAGTTATAGGGTGCATACACTTGCCAGAGACAGAAAGTGAGAAATCACCCCACCCCACCTCTCTGGGGGTGAGGAGATGTCCACACTGCAATCTCTTCTCCTCCGTTCTCCTCGCAAGATTTTGGGCATGCACACACACGCATGAACCTGGTGTGTTTTTCAAGTGGCCAGACCGGGTCTCGAACCACACAGTTAGCCATACGGGGCCCAGTGCCTTAACTACCGTGCCACTAGCTAGCCTCATGCATGTGACCCTAAGTTAACATTAATGTTCTCTTGTGCTGTTACTCCACAATAATACTTTTTTTTTTTTTGGAGAGATTTTTTTGCTATAGGGCGCGTGCACTCGCCAGACAGACAGAGAGAGACAGAGACATAAAGCGAAAAATCACCCCCTAGAGGGGATGGTCACGCCGCAATCCCTTCTCCTCCATTCTCCTCTCGGGATCTTGGGCTCGCATGCACACGCACCCGGCGTGAGTTTTAAGCCACTGGGTCCGGGACCTGAACTGCGGTCAACTACGTGGGAGTCCAGCAACATAGCCATTACGCTAACTGCTGGTCCCCACTCCACAATAAAACTTTTAGACCTTGCTCAACAGAGCATCGCACAGAGGTAACTAAAATCATTTCCACGTGAGCTGCTACCCCAGGGGTGTGTTAAAGTAGTTCTTACAGAACGTCAAAGAGCCAAATACGGAATGTTGGCCAACACATGTGAGCGCTTTTCTATGGCAGGATGCAAATCTAGAACTTTGTTGCAGAGGCCCTGCCATGCCAGGAGAATCTTCCTTTATTCTGAGGTTACTGACATTGTTTTCTGTGGCTTTTCTGGAAAATAGACGTATAACTTTGCGGTAGAAAGAGCTTGGCCAAGTCATCAAGGTGGACGTCGGCACTACAGGAGATACATCGGCATCCCGCTGTCCCTGGAACACTGCAGCAAGAACAGGACACCACACCTCCCAGAAAGACAGGCTTCAATCTGATCACGCACGAACATCAGATAAGCCCACATTGCAAGACACGCTATAAAATCATTTGCTGATACGCATCAATAGCGTCAAGGTCAAAGAATGCAAAGACTGAGCCGCTGTTGCCGGTCAGAGGAGACTAAGAAGACAGCAGCTGAAGGCCACGCTGGGTCCTGACGCTAGTGGCAAATGGGAAATTCAAGCAGACTTGTATTGGGGCCAGCTTTCCGGCTCTAATAATTGTCTCAGAGTTACCTAAGATGCCGACGTCGGGGGAAGGTCTGAAGGGCAGTCATGAACTCTGGACTATTCTTCACTACTTTTCTGGAAGTCTATATTAATTTAAAAATAAAAATGAATGGGACCAGCAGAAGGCATAGCAGTTATGTCGCTGGACTCCTGCATGGCCACCTGCATTTTGAGTCCTGACAATCACACCGAGCACGTGTGCGTGCATGTCCAAGATCTCAGGAGGTGAATGGAGAAGGGATCGAGGCGTGGGGGTTGATTTGTCACTTTCCCTCTCACTGCATCTCTCTCTCTCTCCCTCCTTCTCTCTAGTAAGTGCATGCTCCCTATGGTAAAAACCTCTCAAAAAAAAAATAATAATTAGAGGGACCAGCAGTTAGCGTAATAGCTATGTCGCTGGACTCCCATGTAGTCGACCGCGGTTCGCGTCCCGGACCCAGTGGCTTAAACTCACGCCAGGCACATCCCAAGAGGAGAATGGAGGAGAAGGGATTGCGGCATGGCCGTCCCCCCGGGGGGTGATTTCTTGCTTTCTGTCTCTCTGTCTCTGTCTGGTGAGCGCACACGCCCTATAGCAAAAACCTCTCAAAAAAAAAAAATTAGAAATTAAGGACCAGGAGGGGGCATAGTGGTTAGGGTGCTAGACTCCCACATGGCTCACTGCAACTTGAGTCCTAGACCTGGTGGCTTGAAAACCATGCCAGGCACATGTGTGCATGCGTGCCCAAAATCCCAGGAGGAGAATGGAGAAGGGATTGCAGCATGGCCATCCCCCCTAGGGGGTTATTTCTCACTTTCCCTTTCACTGTCTCTCTGTCTCTCTCTGGTGAGCCCATGTGCTCTATGGCAAAGACCTTAAAAATAAATAAATAAATAAATAAATAAAGTTAAAGAAGCAAAACGAGTCCTGTCTGGTTTCAAAGCCTGGACTCGTAAGCACTGGAGTACACTTAGAACTCCAACTCCAGTCTGCAGAGGGTTTGCGTGATGATTGGTTTCTGGATCTGCCTTGCAACGCACCGTTCCTGGGTTAGATGACATATTTAGGGTGCAGGGAATAAATCAATAGGAAAAGGAAAAGACAGGCATTCAGCTTCAGTTAACCTCGTCACGAATATTCAATCTGAGAACAGTTAGAAAGGATGTCAGCCTTAGGAACAAGCAGTTAGCGTAATGGCTATGTCGCTGGACTCTCACGTAGTCGATCGCAGTTCGTGTCCCGGACCTGGTGGCTTAAAACTCATGCCAGGCGCGTGTGCATGCGTGTCCAAGATCCCAAGAGGAGAATGGAGGAGAAGAGATTGCGGCGTGACCATCCCCCCTAGGGGGTGATTTCTCGCTTTCTGTCTCTATGTCTCTCTCTGTCTGTCTGGCGAGCACACGCACCCTATAGCGAAAAAGCCTCTCAAAAAAAAAAAAAAGAAAGGATGTCAGCCTTTCATACAATAGCAAACATTTATGTATCACCATATACCAGAGACTTCTCTAATCATCCTATACTTTTTAAAAGAATCATTTATTTAATTTTATTATTATTATTATTGTTTAATTTGACCAGAGAGCGACAGAGAGAGAGGGAAAGTGAGAAAGCAAGCCGCCAGGTTTGGTACTCGAACCACAGTCAGACATGTGGGAGTCCAACTTCTTAACCCCATACCACCTACCGGCCCCCATCTTACATATCGTAAAGCTTTTTCTTTGTTTGTTTTTAATTTTACTGTGGAATGTGTGTGCTTGCTGGAGAGAGAGAGAGAGAGAGAGAGAGAGAGGGAAAACACCTCCCAGGGGATAGCCATGCCTCAATCCCTTCTCCGTTCTCCTCTCTGGATTTTGGGCATGCACGCACATGTGCCTGGCAAGATTTTCAAGCGATCAGGTCCAGGATTCAAACCATGAAGTCGGTCATGTGGGATCCAGCCACCTTAACAAACTTGCTGCTGCCTGGATCCCAAATTTTAAAGTATTTAATAATTATCTAAAGCCTATGAGGATGGGGTCATCTGTATTCTACAGAGGAAGAAACTCAGACACAAATTTTAAGTCACCAAATTGACCAGTAGGAAAAGCCAGATTCAATAAGGAATGTTACTCTATGAAGTCCTTTCATTTTGAATTATTTATGGTTGAGGGGCCTTAGTTCCACCAACATATAGATCTTCAAGCCCTGGATCATTTATTTAGGTCTTAAGTAAGTATAGCCAGTGGTAGTCGGGCGAGTAGCTCAAATCCGCGCTGCAGTGCCTTGGGTTTATAAGGTGCTAAGACCTTGGCCATATTTGCAACCAGCCTACCTTTATCCCAGAAACCTGGAGAGAAAAGATTCCCTTTCTGGGACCAGCAGATGGCATAATGGTTATGTCCCATAACCACTGGTTATGGACTCCCATGTAGTCAACTATGGTTCAAGTCCCGGACCTGGCAGCTTAAAACTCACGCCAGATGCATGTGTAATCAAAATCCCAAGAGAAGAATGGAGAAGGGATTGCAGTGTGGTCATCCCCCCTAGGAGATGATGTCTCACTTTCTGTCTTTCTGTCTCTCTCTGTCTCTCTGACAAGTGCGCGTGCCTGGTAGCAAAAAAATCTCTCTTAAAATAAATAAGTAAATAAAAATAAGAAAAGATTCCCTTTCCAAGCTCAGCTCTTTGTTTTAGGACTGAGTTTCTTTTTCCTCAAATGAAAGCCAAGTCAAATGTTTGCCATATAGCCAGTGAGTGTGCAGAGCAGGGCTCCAGCACCCTCTGATAGTATGAGAAACGGCCACGCACACCAACAAGTTCCTAAAACTACTGGTGAGTCAATTCAGCTAGGAAAAACAAATCCCCTGACGGGCATGGCTGGCCCGGTGGGGGTGGAGGAAAGCTGGGCTTCTGTTCCTCAAGTCTTAATTCATTTACAAAAAGTCACATGCCGTGGGACCAGCAGTTAGCGTAATGGCTATGTCACTGGACTCCCACGTAGTTGACCATGGTTCGAGTCCCGGACCCGGTGGCTTAAACTCACACCAGGCGCGTGTGCATGCGTGCCCAAGATCCCGAGAGGAGAATGGAGGAGAAGGGATTGCGGCGTGGCCATCCCCCCTGGGGGGTGATTTCCTGCTTTCTGCTTCTCTGTCTCTCTCTGTCTGGCGAGCGCACACGCCCTATAGCAAAAACCTCTCAAAAAAAAAAAAAAAGTCACATGCCGTGAGGTTGGGATTTGCGCTCACTTCCCTGAGGAGCCGCACAGAGCCTTTGTACTATCCGGGGACTGAGGCATTGTTCCACTCTGAGCACAGAGAACCATTGCTTTGCACACTCCTCACCCTAAGGAGCTTTTGCAAGCAGGGGGTGAGGAAGAAGCATGAGAGGGTCTTGGCTATGGGCCAAGCACTCTGAAGTATCCTTTTCATTTCTTGTCAGGGCCCCGAATGTGAGCGCAGTGGGATGGTAGCCATGCAGTTTTGTGCTTGGCAGAAATCTTTCTTCCAGAGACTGGGGTTGAGCCCACTGGTTTGAGCTGGGGGTGTGCTGGTATATGTTTAGCAACCATGGTGGGGGGAGGGTGCTGATCTGTAGTGTTTGCTCATTTCTGTAGTGTAAATATTCCTAGCCTGCCCAACACCGTTATGCACTGTTTCCATCCTTCCGTTACAGCTGATGTAAATGACACTACAAACATAACCAAGAGCCAGCAGGTGGCAGGGTTAAGGTGGCTAGATCCCACATGGCCGGCTGCATGTTTTGAGTCCTGGATCCAACAGCTTGAAAAACACACAGGGCACACGTCTGTGCATGCCAAAATCCCGAGAAGAGAATGGATTATGGAGTGCCCAGCCCCACTGGGGGATGACTTCTCACTATCTCTCGCATGCACACCGTATAATAAAATGAAATGAGCACAAACTATTTGTTTTGCTTAAAACAAATTTTTTTTAAATGTTTGGACCAGCAGTTAGCATAATGGCTATGTCGCTGAACTCCCATGTAGCCAACTGCGGTTCAAGTCCCGGACTCGGTGACTTAAACTCACTCAGGGTGCATGTGCGTGCATGCCCAAGATCCTGAGAGGAGAATGGAGGAGAAGGGATTGCGACGTGGCCATCCCCCCTGGGGGATGATTTCTCGCTTTCTGTCTCTCTGTCTCTCTCTGTCTTTCTGGCAAGCACATGTGCCTATAGAAAAAAAAAACCTCTCAGAAAACAAAATGTATATATATGGGGCCAGCAGATGGCATAATGGTCACATTGCTGGACTCTCACATGGCTGACTATAGTTCAAGTCCCAGACCCGGAGGCTTGAAACTCACGCCGGGCGCATGTGTGTGTGTGCCCAAGATCCCAAGAGGAGAATGGAGTAGAAGGGACTGTGGCATGGCCATCCCTGAGGGGGTGATTTCTTGTTTTTTTGTCTGTCTCTGTCTCTCCAGTAAGCACACATGCCCTATAGCAAAAATCTCTCCCCCCCCAAAAAAAATTTTTTTTTTAAAAATTTTAAAATAAGGGCTAGCAAGTGGTGTGGTGGTTAAGGACACTAGACTTCCACGTGGTCAACCACGGTTCAAGTCCAAGATCTCAATGACTCACTTTCCCTCTCGCTCTTTCTCTCTTACTCTCTCCTTTCCTGGTCAACTTAAAATCAATCAATCAATCAACCCAAAGTTAATAAAATGATTCTTTCAAAAAACGCTTTAAAATTTTTAGAGTATAGTAAACTATAATCAAATATAATTATAATAAGTAGGAAGTGATACATTTTGACTATTTATTCATTTTCAACGTAATGTATTTATAGTCAGCCATATTTACCCCCTGAGGG